TCTTGTGTTCTCTTTGCTTTTCCTTTTTGACACTGATACCCTGCCTATTTTTGTTATGATTAAAGGGAATGTACAACATTTGCTTTTGCTGCAATTTTTAGAAATAAATGGATTTGGAGGATTATTTTGTTATAGCAATATTGTTACACTGAAATGGACATGTTTCACATTTTTGTGTAGTTGCTAGAAAACATATCAAATCAAACATAGAAATTTAAACATATTTTTGTAGTCTGCCTCCCTGACCCACTTAACATAAAACAGCATTTTTTTGGAAATTGTAAGATCAGAGAATCAGTCTAGCATGCTCGTTCCTCTTCACAGGTGTATCAATTGCACACACAAAATGCAGACGAACTAAAGATAAAAAAATAGGAACACTTTTTGAAGAAAAAAACACGATTTGTCTGTCTCCAGGAGCCACAACTTTACAGGATGTTTTAGACTGTCATTCCCTAACAATCCAGCATAATATTTTGTGATAATTTGATCATTTTGTTTTTTGATGTTTGCAAATGTTGTAAAGTAAAGCCTTATAGTATTTTTTTCAATTTAGTTTAGTGAGCCAAGTACTAAAACAATGAGACAATTGCACACACAAAATGCAGACGAACTAAAAATAAAAAAAATAGGAACACTTTTTGAAGAAAAAAACACAATTTGTCTGTCTCCAGGAGCCACAACTTTACAGGATGCTTTAGACTGTCATTCCCTAACAATCCAGCATAATATTTTGTGATAATTTGATCATTTTGTTTTTTTGATGTTTGCAAATGTTGTAAAGTAAAGCCTTATAGTATTTTTTCAATTTAGTTTAGTGAGCCAAGTACTAAAAACAATGAGACAATATATTTGAGCCAATATCAAAGAAGCATAGTGAGAAATGATTTATAGGATAAGTAAGGACAAGCCTGATGAGATGTGATAGAGCCAGTTGACACTACAGCTTTGTGGTGATTATTTTATTTTTGGTTCATTTTCTTTTCATTTATAATTTTTTATTTATATCGTATACATTTTGTTTAAGATCTGTTTAATTTTTGTGTAGACATTTCGAGCATGGGTAGGTAGGCCTTAGGGCTACAGCGTTTAAGTACCCTTTTGTTTACCCTGGCCGGTCTGGAATGTTATATTGTCCTTGGTTTCTGTTCCTCTATCTCCTCTCCCCTGTCAAACTGTCCACCCTCCCTTCCCTCCCCCCTCGACCCATTCCTTCTCGCATCCTTCAGTCTTGTCTGGTAATACTTTTTCAATTTCCAATTTTGTTTACTTTTTGATATATCTTTGCTTTGTCATTGTACTTTTGTTCATTTGTTGGCCAAATAAATAATAATAATAATAATGCCCTGCAAGATTGTGTGGAGATTAAGGCCAAGTTCAGCCTGAAACATGGACTTTATTTTATTTATATTTGTATTTATTTATTTATTTTATTTACATGCCTCGTTTATTTACATGCATGAGATAAATTAGCAATGTCACACTGTAGCTTTGTAAGATTGTGTAATGATGTTGCCCAAGTCTAATACCATGAGAATGGACTTTACCCCCCCCCCCCTTTTCTCTCTCGATCTCTCTCGATCTCTATTGAAATAATGTTATTGTTTTTAAGACTTCATGCACATAAAGTTGTGCTTGCCGAAAGGTGACATTCGTTCCGTTTAGATTGGATTTTTTTGTCTTTTTCTTTAATGATTAAATTGAATATTAGATAAACTATTCAGAGCAGTTTGCATACATAGTGCCTAAGTATTAAACATAGACTGTCTGGAATGCAAAGATTGATCCCGAAAACAGTTAGGAAGTAAAAAAAAAAAATCTACCATATCTTCCTCAAAATAAACAAATTGTTTTTTTCAACAATCAGCACAAACCGTGCATTTTTCACTTCTTAGTATAAGCTATTGAAGACACATTGCATAAATGTCTTTAATTATTTTATTAGAAAAGAGATAACTTTGAATTAACCACACTCGACAATGGTTGCAGATTGAACGAATTTGAGTCGGACATTAAAAAGAGTCGGACATTAATTAAAAGTCATTCCCCACCGTTTGATACTGCTCTGTAATAGGTCCACATTTGCCGGTGGAAAGAAGTCCACGTTTGGGGGGGGGGGGGTGTCATATGGCACAGTTTGATACTACACAATCTACCGCTCCACAGTTCCAGGTGGAACAAAGTACATATATGGAAGTTTTGTCTCACCATATTTGGCCTTGACGTGAACCTAGCAAAAGATTTGTTTTGAAGATTCTGAGGCAATCAGTGAAGTAAAATAATAGTTCAGAGCAGTTGACCCTCATAATTCGTAAATGACTTAATTAGCAGTTAATCATTTTAAGAAATTTTCTAATCTTTACCTTTTTTTATTATATTTCCAAATTAAAGGCTTGTCAATCTTTGTCATTAGCAATAAAAAAGAAAAAAAATGTAATTTCATTTTCATTTCATCAAAATTAATTTCTAATTCAAAACAATGAGGAACATATAAACAAATAAGATCGGAATTGGGGGCACAGCCGAAGAAGCGCGGATTGTGTTAGGTGTAACCTATATTGAGTTTGTGGACAAAAAAAATGCAATTTCACAGTACAAGGGGGTAATAGATATCATATTGCATGAAAATTTATTTTGGTTTGCAAAGCCAATTTCATGAAACTGCTAATCACAAAAAATGTCTTGCTTAGTAAAATCAGGTAACTAAACCCATGTGATTATAATATGCTAAGAAAACACCAATCACAGAATACCAGTCAAGCTGCATACAATGCAATTGGCAATCCTTGTTTTTACCCAAAAATACAATAATTTTAAGCATTTTCTGATGCTAAAGGGTTATATATGAAATTGAGCCCATGTGTGATTGGGTTTTGAAACTGAAGGCATGGGTTACTTGAGTTTAACTTAACCCATGCAAAGATGAACTACCGAAAACTCGGTTGTCTTGAGCCAATTGTTTAGCTCAAAATATCCAGCTCGGATAATATTGGCACACTACCCAAGCAATTTTTAGTGTAACTGTGTCGGAGAGAATATGCTATAAAGGTGACGTAAAAAACAGACATCATTTTCTCTTTTTTTTGTTTACAGCATTTTAGAACATGTAAGTGGCCATCCAGAATTTTCAATGTTTTAAAATTTCGACTTTTTTTCCAAATTATTTTGACCCACCCACCCACCCCTACTTTCGATTAATAAAAAACTGAACATGTACATGAACATGCACTTGCATATATACTTGAACATGAACATGTATACCCATGTTCATGTGTGTCTAGTTCAGTGACAGCGTGAAGTTGTCGGTCTTCCTCTTTTGCACTGGTGACCTTCAGTTTTCTTGTGTTTTGCCAGCTGATATGCTGTTGGGAATGACAGCTAGGTTGCAGTTTTGGAAGCCACAAAGATGACCGCGGTTTTGTCGTTTTCTGGATGAGGTGGATGACATGTGACATACGAGGTTGTGCCTGTCACGTGAGGAAACTGAGAAAAAACTTTCGCTCATACCCCCCCCCCCCCCGGCACGGCGGGGGGTACGAGCGAAAAAAAAAAATCAAAATCAGGTTTGGGCAGACATCACATCACAGGCTGCGGTCCTCGTAGTCTTGGAGTCCAGTGGTTGAATGGTCCAGTTTTTATAGCGATTGGTAATCGACGCCCGCGGCGTGTTATAGAGCCGATCTAGTACACCTGGTACCCTGCTGCCTCTGCACGGCCTAACCGCTACAAACGCCCGGAGTCCAAGTCTACTGAAAAACCACCTCCCTCATGCCACAGTGGGTCTTTATACACGTACATGACGTACATGTACAGTACATTCAGGGGACGAAGTTGGAAAAGAAACACGCATCGCGATATCAGAGGCTTGCGCGTGGTTCAGGCAAGTCAAAAGATCGATCTTTCTTTGTTGTTTTTATCTTTTTTCCATGGAAAGTGAATTTCGATTTTCAATTATTTAGCTTGACCCACCCACCCACAATTTGGAAAAAAGATCGAAATTTTAAAACATTGAAAATTCTGAATGGCCCCTAACATTCAAAAATTCTGTTGCGGCTTCATCAGCAATAACGTCATTTTGACGTCCTCAACTAATTTGTATATCTCTTTTTTCTATAAATTGGAGATCATAACACAAGTTACATTACATGGTTGAAATGTTTTTCCCGCAAATTTACAAATCATTTACTACACTGGAATATGTGATGTGCTCTGTTAAAAATCACACTTTGTTATCCCCCCCCCCACTCTCTCTCTCCCTCTTTTACATTATAAATCGTATGTGTATTTATCTTAGCTCGCTGCAATATAAGGATTTGCAAGTTGAAACATCTTCGCAGTTACAGACAATTCAAAGACTAAACAAAAACTGCTTACCCCTTACATCCAAACAAAAATATCACTTCCTCTTTCAGCCTATTCTGATTTTGAAACTCAGCAAGAATCTTCTGATTATTTTTAGACAGAGCACGTCATTTTTGGAACACATGTAGTTTACAGAGTTTTCTAATTCATCAAGACCTTTTCAATCGACAATTTGGGAGTCATTTTCAGCTAAAATGCATGTCCGGGACGACTTTTTGCCAACTGCACGGCTCTTGGGGACCCTCCTTGTGTGTTTGAGATGATTTTCTATGTATCCCGACGCTGGGCGTCTTGTCTTGCCTTTCTTGAACCACGCTTCCTGACATGCATAAAAACAAAGAAAACCGACAATTCGTTAAGGCGATAAAGTATCCAGTTTCTTGTCAGTGCGTGAATCGCCTTAATATAGGTTCATGTGGCCTCCGATCCCCTGGCCCCCACGAAATTTAGTTCCCAAACTTGGTCAGATAGCCGATAAAGGCTTTTTTTATTTAACTTAATATAATGTTGCTTATCATAATGAAGTGATTTGAATACTGCGGTGTCACAGCATGATGAGGGAGTTCGATCCCAAACTAAATCAGGATAAGTGTGTTGGAGGCTGCCCCAGATGGAATCACACGGAATCACCAGTTCAGTTCAATTTCAGCGATTAATAGAGAATTTATTCAATCATCAGCAAATCAGTAGAATAACGTACAATGAGTTAATTAGTTGCAGTTAATGAACAGATGTTGATCCCAAAACTTCCCCAGTATATGTGCTACGTGTGGATTCCGGTCACGATGCAAAGACAGATCACCAGGCAATGAAAGATCAGGTTGCAAAAGATGGCTCCATGCAAAAGATCCAGTATGGTAAAGATCCCGTATAGTAAAGATCCCCAGGTGCAATAAATGAAGGTCTCACAGTAGACCGCGCCTACATATTGCCTACGGAAAAATAAACAAGACAACACTGCGGTCAAAATACATGGTGAATGTGTACGCAATGGCGGTCAAAGGTCACACACACACACGACGCGAGTTCAGACGCTGTGCGCTGTGCATACAAGTACAACGTGGGTGTGTGTGGGAATATGCACGACTGTAGCTATGACGACGACGCTGCAAAATTGGAAAGTTAGTGAGTGAAAGTGTCACAAAAACGCAAGTTTCCCGCAAAGTTATGATAAAAAGGACACTCACCACAGGTTCCAGAGGCGCCCACCTTCCCTCTCAGCACATGATTATGCTGGCAAACAGCAAAGGAAAGGTGAATTCTCACCGAGAAAATCCCGGCTACAAAATAAGTGACTGCCGTCCAAAAGTTGGAAGACAAGCAGTGCCTGTTTCGCGCGCTCCCGCACGATGCGGACACATCACCAAGTGTCTCTAAAATATTATTGCACCCCCAACAAAATGCTGTTACGGATTAACTAAACCCGTAAATGACAAAATATACTCAAAGGAACTTCCACTTACACATAATTGTCATTCTTATACAATTATAATAAGAAAATGTAGAAGAAACCCTCTAAAACTATGGACCTACTTGTTTCAAGAGTGAATGGACAATGAGTTAACAAGTGCTACATAGGTCACATAGGTCACGCGTCAACAACAACATAGGTCAATCTAAATATAGCCCTGTATCCGGGCAGCCGGTGTGTGGATGGAGGTTACGTGCCCCCACAATAATATCAAGTTCTGTATTTGAGCTTTTAGGTGTGTGTGCGCTTTATTTCCAAACCCGTTCGAATTCTTCGCTGCACTTGTGCTCTAAAGACTAGTGTTAATTTAATACGAATTTGTTATATTATAATATATTTTCAATTCATTAATTGTATGCTTTATTTTATGAAATACCTATGCCAATTTTAAACATTGTTTGAAACTGTAAGGCACATTGCGATTCTTTGCAAGTTGCATGCGCTATAAAAGTAATATCAGCATTATTTAAAACCACGTAATTGCATTACGTTTGGAGCTCATTCCTTAATAAAAATACAATTACAACTAATTGGGCAGAGAGCAATAACTTACATAACCTTTTCCTTCGGGATCTTTGAGGATAGGGAATTCATTAATGACACTTGCTGCCAATGCCTCCTTTTCAGAAGAGTTAGGCCTGAATGTAAAAAAAATAAGGTATTGAGAATTTTATCAATAAACAAAATCAGTTATTTTACTGTCGACAGAGATACTAAGTGAAGCTAAAAATATATACGCTTGTGCAAACCAAACCAAATCAAGCGTGTTTTCTAGTGGCTAGAGGAGAAAGTAGTGGGCCATGGCCCTGCATGTTCCATTGTACACGGCCGTATCAAAGAGAAAATGAGAAAGCGCCCTCAAGTGTTAGGATCATGCCAGCCAAATTCTTGTCTTGGTTTGTGGGCGTGGTTAAAAACAGCGGATGTGTCGTATCGTATTTGCATAATTTATTTGTCAGCCTCCGTTCTGATTGGTTATAAACAATTGACATCTTATGAATTTGTAAGAGTTCAATGACGTTGTTTACTAATTTATTAGCTTTTGTAGCGAGGTCAAATGTCAGGTATATTAAAATTCAGGGCCCAACTGTCGCACGAGATTTTTCCGTACGGTACGAACAACGCTCTACTGATGCCGTTGTAAATCACACTTTTCGTACGAAATATAAGTTTCTACGCCGACATCCTCAACAGACTGGACATCATGGAGTATCAGTTGAACTCTTCTGATCGTAAGAAGGTGAGGGCAGCTCATTTTGTTTGTATTTGCTTGAGTCAGAAAGACGAGTACTTTCATTTTTTTCCCATTAGTATACACACGAAGGCCACGCTGCGCGCTGAGCTATGCACACACGTGTAAACAACATACACATGTACATGTACAATGTACAGTACATGGCACACGTACGCATGACGTGCATGATGTACATGTACATGTATCGTTTTATACGCACAGATTTCATGTCTATAACTAAACGTTGGCCCCTACCGTAGAATTTGCTTTGAATTATTTAAATGTTAAAGAAGGCCTATGAGTATGAGTATGAAATTGTTACGGCAGTGGTTAGACATACATTTCTTGAGTCTGAGCTGAGACAAGTAGGCCTATGATATGAATGATCATTGATCATGTTGATTGATGAACATTGCAAACAAATTACAATAAAACATCACATACGCCTCACAAACCTTTGTAAATCATTCAAAGTTTTATTATGATGGTATAATAAAGTCAAGTACATGTACATTGTAAACTATATACAAAAATTTAGGTTTTGACAGACTTTTATGACTCGTGACTCGGATTAAAGTTACTATGACAAATGAATCAAACTTGGACTCGGACTCAACCTACGTGACTTGGGATCCTACCAAAATTACCACAAATCACTCCTTTTTTTTCAGCAATATAATTACGTTTTATTTATTTTTTTTGCAATACTTCCAGCCTTATTTCCTATATACGTGTATGACTCGTGACTCAGATTCGACCTTTGTAACTCGTGACTCAGCCTCGACCTGCATGACTTGGGACTCGGAGAGGTGATCCAAACTTGGACCTGATGATTACAATCCTGGGTTTTGGACAGTTTAAAATTTTTATTCTGCACAAATTTATTAGGAAGGATTCTTTGAATCATTCTGGCATAAATCAATGATATATAATTAGGCACCTATCCCTAAGTGTTTGTCATTCAATCATCCTCTTCATTTGTGTATTTTTTTTTTTTTGCTCAAACATTTCCTAATTTTCTTAAATATTGAATCTCATTTTAACCCTGAGTACTATTGTTACAGAATGTGTACATTTATTCTTCTGTTTTTCTTTTAACTGCAGGAATGTACTGTGCCTGAACTTCTGGCACAGTGCTTGTGTGATGTCGCCTCATGATGGTTAGAAGACGCTGTAAGTCATCCTTCATGCCGTGGACAGCCCTGCCTGTTCTGTTGAACTCTGTGTGAACAAGTTCACCACCCTGTTCGTTCAGGAGGCCAAAGCCTACACCAAATCTCTCAAGTTGCTCAACTGCATGAGCTTCAAGCAGGTGCATCTTGGGCGTGATTGAGTGCGTGGGGAACTTCATTCTGTATGTCGCCATGAAATCGACGATACATGAATCTGCATGAAAGGTAAATACAGTGACCATCAAATCAACAAATTAATTCTTTAAATATAGTTACAGTCGGTTTAAGTGCAAGTTTTGTTACGACTCTAATTGTACCTCATGCTACAGTGTCAAAATAGTTTGAATTAGAAGTGTTTAAAACTTACCAACACGACGCAAGTCATCCTGCGTGATTACTCGTGCATGGTTTATGGCAAAATGCACATCGGCAAATTTCATGAAAATTTCATGAAACGTTTTGCCAACTGATGCAGCCTCCCGGATCAGATCTTGATGTCGTGCTAGTGGAAGACTGTCACAAGAAAGTGATTCAAGGACTCTTCTGGGTGTGGATATCAGGTCACTGATGACTTCAACCTACATGTACCATAGATAAGGGAAAAGTACAATCATCTTAGAAAAACCTGATTTTGGGGTTTTATTTACTTGACGGTACATGTGAAGGTACACATGTTAATAACATGTACATACATGGTACATGTACATGGGTACATGTACATGTACTTTAAAGACATTACCTTGCAACACTTTTGCACATGATTTCCTACAAATGCTTTGCCATGATATGCTTGTCTCGCAACATTGTGTTTTTTCAGGGTTCCATCCAGAGCACAGGCAACGGGTCCTGTTCCGAAGGGTAGCTCGGCAGTAATCTGTTCCTGTTCATGATGAAAAAAACAGAATGGTTTGGTAAGTACACATGCTGTTGGACTGAAAGAAAGCATCAATAAACCTCTGTGCAGACTTAAGAAACAAATTGTGTATATACCATTTGCTGTAGTTGAAGGCGAAGATTGAAAGCCTTATATGCCATTCCTTCGAAAGCTTTCCCTGCTCTTTGCATGTTTTGTTGCAAAAAGTGCAGGGGTAGCTCCTCCTCGAGTTGTTCCAGCTCATCCCTTTTTGCAGACAAGTCCTTCTGAAGCTTTTGCTGTCTTCCAAATTCTTCTGACACCTGTTGTTCAAAATTTGTTGAACGGCTGTCCTCCTCTTCTGCATACTCAACTGAGGACTTGTATAACTTGACATCGATCTCATGACAGCTGGTCTCGAACATATCATACAACTTTTTGTAGATGCCAAGCGATATGTGTAAACTGGGAAGGACAACCTGCGATATGGGGATAGGCATAACAAAAAAGGGATTAAACTATTATTCTGTACATCCATTATTATCTAAAGCTAAATTATAAAAATACAAATTGTAACATACATACATGGTCAATCTCAACTGGAATCATCGCCTTGGCAATGACACTATGGGAGACATCCTTAGATCGCGCCTTACAGGATCCATCATCTGTGTATGCCTTGAAGCTCTTAGCTAGGGACTCAAGGTTTCTGTACTGGATATCTGCATCTCTTTGATCCGGGGGAAGCTGCATTGCAGTCCGTGATGTAGTGCAGTATAAACAGCAGTAACGGGCTGTCATAAAACAAGTTTTCTGACATGTGAAATGTGTTTGATTGTCATAGACTGAAAGTACATTTAATGAATACACTGTCAAATTAATGTACAGATTCTAGAGGGGAAAAAAAACCACATAATTACCATTGCAGCTGCAAATCCCGTAAATCTTGGTAAGTAGCTCATAGTCTCCAAATACAAACACGCGGAGGCTTTTGTTCCTGGATATACGTGTAAATAAAACAAAATGCAACATTGATGATGAAGGTGACATAATGTAAATACTGATTTATTTATCACTATTTTTTACACAAGTTTTGACTGTTGACTTTTGACATTACCTCCATGTTTGATTTTGGAGTGATGTCACTTGTTCAAGGATAGGAATGAGATACTGCAGGTTAGCTGTTGAGTCAGGTGCCTCAAAACAGGCAAACACGACTGTATTTCGGAGTGAATTTGGGTGGTCTGTATTCACTATCTGGAATGCTAACTTGAAGCTGGTTCCGCCTTTGTCACCCCCTACTTTGATCCAGATTTCCTCCTCTGGTATGACTCCATTGTGCCAAGTCAATGAATTTTGCCTGTAAAAATAAGAGGAAAAAAAACAAAAATGATACATTGTACAAGTCTAAAATGTAACAGTTTTCGTGTACTGTTTTTCCTTTCCAATGTGCAGCTTACGATTGGTGTCTGTCCAGGTAGTCCATCACCATGGCAGGAAGATCCCTCACGTGTACAAATGGAACATCTTTGGAGATCATCCCATTAACTCCAGTGGCCTTGTTTGATGGAAATAGCATCGGTTGAAGGGCGCCATGCAGATTGTCCTTCAAGAGGCTGTTCTGTCTTTTCCGCATCTGTCGTTCGGAGGACACTGCTACTCCACTTGGTCCTAGGTATCTGCCGTATATTTATATAAAGAATTAATGAAAAAGGGCATATAATGCAATAAAAAAATTATCATTTATTAAGAACGACTATCATCCCTCCAACTATGTTTTATATACAATTCACACTCAAATCAGTTCATGAACTCTACTGTTTAACTGAGCTTGTGACAACTGTTTTAGAAATGTCTGTGTTAAGCTATTTGTTTTCCACACGAAAATTATAGGCTTAATGTTTGAAATATGATGAATTATGGCAAAACGTGATTCACATACTAAACCTGTATTTTGATTTCTCAGTGTAAGTTTCAATTTTAGAAATGATCACCCTGATGTAAAAGAACCAAATCAAAATTACCTTCGGAGTTTCCGAACCTGCTCCCACGCAAGCTGACAATCCCTCATCATTGCTAAGGAGACATCAGGTGGCTGTTTTGAGTTAACAGTCTCACTGCTGGATTGTTTGGCACTCTGCCGTTTCAGTTGTACACAGGCAGGCTGAAAAATAAATGAACAAAAGTGTCAATCATACACTTCATCAGTCTCACTATTATTTGCTATTAATATAACCGGTTAAGGAACGAAATATGTACATGTATCTTGGAATACTTAATCAGTAGGTTTGATGTTGTATCATTACACAAACTGGAAACTATTTTGTTTTAAAGTGTAAATAGTATGTAAATAAAAGTGTAAGTTTTGTACAGAATCAATGTACTTTCTGTATTTTCTGTTCTGCTAAATTAATTTACTTTTTCATTATTACGAAACTATTCTATAAAATAACATTTAAAGCTGTTTGCAAACAAAGAGGTTGTGTAAAAAAAAAATTGCTCTGAAATAAATGTTAACATGAAAGATGCATTTTAGTGTACTTACCCTTCCACGCGTCTTAAGTTTAGCTGTTCCACTGATCTGCAGTTTGTGCCAAGTCCATTTGTCAGAAGCGGCTTCAATTTGTGGTGGAATTGGGGCCCCTTTCACGTGTTGTGAAGCCACATGTTCAAGAAGTTTGGCCGCCTTGGTGATTTCTGACTCTTGTGTTTTGGAGGGTGGTGTTATTACACCGGGCACAATGCACAAGTGACAGTGGCATCTGGCCACTTTTGAGGGACATTTGTGTTCAAACATTTTGTCCAGTTTTCCCATGGATCCACATTTTGAACAAGCTGTACTTAAGCTGCTAAGCTGAAGTCGAAGCACTCGTGGGCAGGGGGATACCTCAGAGTAATGTACAAGCTGCTTACACACTGGACATGGGACCTCTGGTTTAGAGTTGTACTGGAACCATTTAGCCAGGCATGCAGAACAAAAGTTATGTTCACATGGTGTTTGAATGGTAGGTGTGCTGAGTATGCACTGACAGATAGGGCATGTAAAAATGCTCTCTTCTTCTGAGGATTTGCCACACAGTTCTAGTAAATGGCTGACAGTCTTACCGTCGCTGCAACTGTCTATCCCAAATAGGTTTGCAGGTAATTCCTTGTTGACTTTAGTGGCTGACAGACGACCTGTTCGAATTCGCTTAGGTTGATGGCCTCCATCCCCTTGTTTCATGAACACATCACAAATCTCACATTGGCCAGTCCTTTGATGTTTTTTTCCAGTTCAGCCTAGGTGATTGTATGGTCCCTGCATGATCATTACTAAAACTACCCATTCTGTCCCCATTTTTCACATACCGCAAGGATCTTGAGCATTTATAACAGACAAATTGTGGGTGTATTTGTGCCTTATCCTCCCACGTACTCATTGAAAACACACTGTATATTTCTTTTCTGTGATCAGCACAGTGCACAGGTCTGGTGTAGCTCTTACCCTCTCGCTTTTGTTTGGCTGTTTCTAGTCTCCTCCCACAAACACGGCACAATTGTGACAAAATAGACTGATGGTACTCCATAATTTGAGACGAAAATAAAACAAAAGAAATCAACAAACACTCGCAGTACCTCCGTACGCTGTGCCACCAGTGCTGTACGCGGCGCGGCAGTGAAGTGAGTTTGTTTACATTGTTGAATTTCGCGCCACACAGCTACGTATTGTACGTGTGGGTGCGTGTACGTACGTGTGCAAACGAACCCGTGCAAACGTATTCGTTTTCGCGTGCAAAACCCATACGTGCATAGAACGATGCCGTGAAATCGCACAAGTTTCGTTGCTCATAACTTACTAAAAAGAGCTGCCCTCAGTAAGAAAAATCAAAAGTAAATTAAGAAAAGTATTTTTTTACCAAAAACTTTGGTCATTACTTCCACAAAACTTATTTTCACTCAGTTTGCAAGCAAAATAAAACCTCATTTTCACCACCGGGCGTTTCAACATTTTATCACACACGGGAGACGTAAAAATGGTTTGTTTTTCTCTTTTTACAATTGAAATGGATAATTACCACACAAAATACAAAGATTTTAATAATATACATTTTTTTCAAAGATTGAAATATTTTTTAATGTTCTATTTTGGTCAGAAATTAAACTTTCTCTTCCTAGTTTTACGATCATCGCGACGTAAAATAGCGCCGCCATCTTTGTTTAAGAACCATGACCATTACTGGAGTAAATAAACTCAAACACGATAAGCACAAACACTTTATTTGCGTTGCGCGATGCGGGGTGAAACGGCCGTGTGTAACCTGTATTAATGAAGCTGGATCCCAGAATCCACCACTGTTTCGGGACCTTTTCATTCGTACAAAGCAGTCCAGAAGCCGAACGGGTTTTTTTTAGCGAATATAGAGAAACGTTTAACTTTTAAGAAGGATAAAGATACAGTTTTTATTCGATAAGGTAACGAGGATCGCCATCTTTTCGACAAGAAGAAAATGTCAGCAAGTATAAGTCTGAACTCACCAGAGGCCACATGTCTGGATCAGGTACTTCACCAATTTATGTTTCGTGATTACTCGGTCGCATTTATCAACGCGGTGAGTCAAGCATATTTTTTCCACTAAGGCCTACCCAGAACGAGTTTCCTCCAGGATTTGTCTTGCATTCTGGAAATAACGATGTTCATGGAAAGGAATACAAATATAGACCCAATTAAGTTGTGTACAACAAGAAATTACAGGAAATAAAATGTCAGTACGAAGTCCACAAATTCACGTTACCTAAAAACGTTGTATAATGAGATGATTGCATCAA